ATTTGAGTAATAATTATGTATTTGTTACTTTATAGATTTAATAGATATTTGTTGTTACTTTATTAATGGCTGCTGCTATGATTTTGTCTGGTTTATGAGCTCATTGCTGTCCTATTTTAGGATCTTCTTTTTAATAAATTCTTGAAAATGTTAAAAAAGAGAGAGAGAAAGGGGCCCAGCAAGGATGTTTGCCCTGGGGCCCGTGCTGGCTCTCGACGTTCCTGTATGTCACGTAATGAAAATGACGTAACACAAGCACAAAGTTGTGACCATAGGGTGATGTCACAGATACGTGTCGTCTTTAGCAGGTTGAAATTGCTGAAACCTTTATCTTGACCTATATTGACTGAAATGTTATGGACATTTTAATCATTTCTTTATACTTTCATGCTTTATTATGCTGTAGTTGAATTGTTATTTGTTTTAAATTTGTGTATGACATGTGAATATGAGTAATATTTATTCCAGGTTATTCATACACTAAGTCGAGCCATTGAATGTTCTGAAAAGGAAGCAACTGACTGTGCATCGACAATTGACAGAGAAGGAAGAAGAATTGTTAAATGTGGTACTTTTGATAAATGCGATGAGGTTCGTAAAATCATTGAGCGTACCACTTCACGTTCAGGGAGAAAGCCACTTCGGGTTGTGGTGATGCACAGTTCTGTGATAGCACACCAAATCTTTAGCATGAGGTTGTTATTATGGCTGAAACAGATGCTGTCTTACAGCAAAGGTAGCAAGTCTTTTCTCTCTTACTTCCTACTGTTACAAGTATAAACTGAAACTAATGGATAGATATTTGTTTAGTTCATAATGAAAAAATATTTTTTACACTAGTTAAATAAACACAAATAAAATTACAAAAATACAACTTTATCTCAACATTTAAAAAAATAATGGTTCCAATCTTCTGGGGAAGTGAAAAATTTAACAAGAAAACATGAACATTAATGAGTTCAAGTTATGACGAGAGACAGGCAAGAGATATTTGTATCATATATGCTACATACCAATAGGAAATTTTTCTAAAGAAATTGTTTATAATGAACTTCTAAACCTAATCTTCATTTTTTATAAGAATAATAAAGTGTAATTATTAATCATGTGAACTCAAGATGTGGTAAGGTTCATTATCTCAAATGAGTTTTCATTTTGTATTACTTATGTGCCAAGACTCAATAAAATTTATGATGTTTTGTTTTACCCATGATCGATAACCTTACATCTTTCCTAATTTATTATCTTTTTTGTGTTCAAAGAGTGTTCCGCAGCTGCTGATGTAAAAAAATGTTACCTTATTTGTAGTTTCTTTTATGTTTAGATAGTCTGGTAACTTAGACCAATATAAATAGCCAGACAATTTATTTTTGTACTTTTGGTATCATTTGTCTTAACACTTTGAATGTTTTAAGTACAGTTTTAGTATTATTGTTTTAAAAATCATTCTTATCTATCCTGAGATATCATTAATATATGAGATAAAAACAATTGGATAACATCAACAGTAACATGGTCAAGTAAACAAACTTATACTTGTGTGTATTATCATGCAATTTTATAGATACAATAAAAATTACACTAAAGTAACATGATTTAATATTATCGGCATTTGGTAATGGTAAAAAATTTAGATTACTGCTAGCCCTAAAACTAAAGCTTAAACAAGCAAAGTTTTATACATTAAATACATATACACTAACATTGCTAAAAACAATCTCACTATGCAATAATACACAGGGTTGAGTATGCTGTATTAAAAAAAAACGTTTGAAGAAACAACCAAGTAAGTTACATGATAACCACAACTGATATAAAATTGTATAAGAATGGCATATATAAGAATCGCATTTGGTGGTTACTTGTCATTTTGTAGGTAATGTTATGCCATTGCATATTGTTTGCTTTTGGTACGAAACATCACCATCCATACAAGATACTCATACACTCAGATCATAGAGATGCTTAGCATTTCCAGGATAGGGATATCGATTGTACTTAATGTCATTGAAAAACAAAGGAATATGGATCAACTTGAGGCACCAGGAACCCAGAAAGAGACCTGCAACAAGTTGTGGAAAACAAAGTGTGGCATCTTGTAACAGATTAGAATCCACAAACACAAAGGTTAGTACCAAAAACCATTCACATATTGCAGACAATAGTATGCAACATCTCAAAAAGTATCTCCATCTGGAAATAAGGCCAACGGAGTATGCATTCACCAGGATAAGGCTTCCAGTCGTGCTTTCCTTTCAACAATTGTGTACTTCAAGCAGCTGAAGAAAGAAATATGTATTCTTGATATTCCATACAAAGACCTGATCAAATTGCTGGATGCAGCAACTATGGATTTATGTGTAATAGGACTGTTGAATCTGGTACTGGAGAACTGTCATTTTTGCACAATATAGGGATTATGAAAGTCAGTTAGGGAAGGTATATTTTTGACATAACAACCTTACAATGGAGCCTTTTGGAATAGAAACAACACTGCAGGGCTATTGTCAAGATACATGGTTGTCAGATAGAATATGACCTGATGTGGTGATATGGACTGTAATGACAGATAAGGCTCTACAATCGTTTTAATATAACATACTCAGTCAACCCTATGTAAATGATCTAAAGACTCACTATTGATGCTTCAAAGAAAAAATAAGTAATAAAGACTTCACAAATATACCCAAAAAATAATCTTAAAAGAGAAAAGTAATGAAATCCACATGTGGGGCATTATTTATAACAAGTTTTTTTTCATATTTATTTTGACAGTTAATACCTAGAAGTATCAAATAACAACAACTAATGTCATACAGACTAAAGGAAACTTCCAAGAAATTCTCCTTTTTTTATTATTCCAGTGTCAATATGTCCACAAATCATACATCAAATGCATGAAGAGTGTCAAAACGCTTCTTTGCAACCTCACCCCACCACACACACTAATTGGTATTAACACATTCATGTTGTTATACAGAGGAAGACTTTGAATTTTAAGTGAACAGGTTAATGATTTACAATATTGTGGAACATGTTAAATGACAATTCAGAAAATGTCCTACATAAGTAATTTGTCTTAGGCAATCAGGAAGTAATTCTTCTGATGTATTTTACCATTAAATGTATTTGTTAAAATAATTTTTCATAAATTGTTACTTGGTTTATAATTGGTCTAGTTGAAAATTAGCTATATTTCTGTAAGCAAAGTTAATAATATTGTTATAATTTAATTTGTTAGAGATTAAAAGTACTGAAAAGGTTAAATGCATGCCACATATATATTTATTTATTTTTTACAGCCTTTCATGTTATCTTTAGTCAAGTAATGATGGAATCACCCACAACAGATTTTCCTTTATTGGAAAGTATTATATTATCTGATACCCAGCTTTGGAAAGCAGCTCGTAATCAGTGGCATCAGCTCTTTATTAGTGGAACACTAATGGACCAACAGAGCAAGAAGACATTTGCCAGAATCTTTACCCATAATTACCCTCTTTTAATGAAGGATTTTATTGCTGATGACCACGAACACTCAGTTTCAATTACCTCTCTATCTGTGCAAATTTTTACTGTTCCAACACTTGCTCGTTATCTGATCATGGAAGAAGATGCTATATATGTCCTTCTTAGAACATTTTTGACAGAATGTGAGAGAAATCGTAAAGATGGAAAGTTGTGTTTTGAAAGAGGTCAAAATATTGAGATGTTTCGCCGCTCACAGTATGTGCTCTTTGATTTGAGGTTCCTATTAACAGTAAAACCAAAAGATTGGAATTCTTCCTTAAGGAAGAATTTCCTCCATGGTATTCAGCAGCTGCTTAATTTTCTCAGTTGGATGCAAGGCATGGACTCTGTGATAAGACAAGTGGGTCAACATATAGAATTTGAAGCCGAATGGGAAACTGGTATAAACCTTCAGTTGAAGCTAGTACCACTAATCACACTAGTTTTGGATTGGTGTGGATCTGATCGTGTGGTTTTGGTAAAAGCCCTTAGAGCTGCCTTAAAACTTTTAGAGACTATCCAAGAAAAAATGACTGCTATTGGTCAAGAAGTTGCAGATCATTCAGCTTCTTGTATTGAGTGTGATATTTCTTCTATGCCCGTCACGATACATTTGCCACTTTCACGGTTTGTGGCAGGTTTGGTTCTTCACCTGTCAAAGTATGACTTAATGTACAATTCTCCAGAGTTTCTCATAGGTAACAAGCCTGGCCCTGAAGAACTTATGGAACCTCCTTTAAGAACACAGGTTATGATAGCCCAATTTAGAGCAGGAATGTGGAGAAGAAATGGATATTCATTAGTGAATCAAGTATCTTTCTATCACAATGTTCGACTTCGTGAGGAAATGTTAGATCGAGATATCATGTTGCTCCAGATAGCTGCATCTCTGATTGAAAGTAATGAGTTTGTTATTCATCTCCTTAACAAGTATGGCTTGTTAATTTGGGTTGGAGACACTTTTGATACTTCCCGCAGGTCAGAGGATGAGTACACAAGACAAACTGCTGCTATTGCTGAAGAATTTCTGAGTTTACTTATTACTATTATTTCAGAAAGATACTATCCAGGTATTGGAAATGTTACTGAAAGAGACAAAGTTAAGAAAGAAATAATTCAATTGCTTTGTATTGAATCCATGCCTCATAGTCAGTTGTGTAAAATGTTACCAAGAGACTCCAACCATGAAACTGGAATAGAGGATGTTATGACTGAAGTAGCAGGCTTAAAGAAACCTACCGATACTTCCACTGGTAAATATGAATTAAAACCAGAGTTTTATTCTTGCTTCAATCCATTTTTTTATCATTACACTCGAGAAGAACAATCTAAAGCTGAAGAGGTACAATTAAAAAGAAAAAAGCAAGCTGGAGAAGAAGAATGTTGCCCTCCTCCTTTGCCCCCAGAGTTTACTCCACCATTTTCCATCATCATTAATATCTTACAGTGTGATGTAATTGTTCATATAACAAATCTGGTTTTAAAGAGAGCATCTAATCTGCATAGCACAGCATATTCTGAAGGTCAGCTGGAAAAAATTTTACATTTAATAGGTTTAGCTTTGCATGAAGAACAGCGACAACAAGAAAGCAAAGAAGAAAATGGTTTTTTTCGATATACTGAAATAGCAGAAAAGAAGGGAATTTTAGCTAACTTAGAAAGTTGTCAAGGGTTTCCACGTGTAGAGGCACACAAATATTTGTTAAATTGGACATTAAGAAAGTTTCATGCCTTGCAGAGACAGAAAAAAGAAGGAAAAGCTATGGTAACAGATGTTGAACCTCTTCCTGAAAGCACTGCTTCCACTAATAGTAAACGAGATAAAAAGCAAAGTGCTCAACAAGCTGCAGCTCGGCGAGCTAGAATAATGGCTCAGATGTCAGCCATGCAGAAAAGCTTCATAAGACAACATGCTGAGTTGTTGAAGGAGGTTGATTCTGAAGAATCATCTAATCAAATAGAATATGAAACATTTGTTGTTGAGGAAGGTAGTGATGATCCTGTGGCTTTGGGTAACCTTCAGAGAGGAAGAATGATATACAGACAAATTTATACTTGTATTCTTTGCAGGGAAGAACAGGAAGCTACTTTGACTGGAAGAACTCTTGTTATAGGTGCATTTGTGCAAAGATCCACTGTTTTATCTAAGGTTAGAAACCACATATTTGAGAATCCTAAAGAATTTAATCCTCTTTTAATATCAGCTGACCTATCTTGTGGTCCTCACACCAGCACATGTGGTCATGTTATGCACAGTGTTTGTTGGAAGAAGTTTTTTGAAGCAGTAGTTGCAAAAGAAAGACGAAGACCTGTAAGGTGAGTTATTGTTGTAAGTTCCTGTAAATGTTTCTATTAAGACTCTAATTAATGTTTTATGATCTAAGGTATATAAGAGGTTAAACTAAACCAAATGTAAATAAGAAAGTATCACAACAAGAAATAGTTTCATTGTTCTATCATGAACAGTAAGAATAGAAATTCTTATATAAATTCAGTTTCTTTTGCAAACGATGTGACATTTTAAAGTATCATTAAAAGAATATTAAATGTCATTTACATTCTGTAATAAACAAGCTTCATACTTCCTATATACAGTAGCATGTTAGATATCTTGTACTATGTATATTATGTGAGAGTTCAACAACATTTGATCATTCATATTTCCTGTGATGTTTATTTTATAATAGTAAATGATTTTTAAAAATCATGTTTTTAGATATGGTCGTCATGTGAGCTACAATGTAGACAAACAGGAGTTCTTGTGTCCATTATGTGGGTGTCTTAGTAATACAGTAATACCTTTGATGCCTCCAAATACCACCTTCTTAACAAATACTGTAACCGAAACTAAAAGCATTAAAATGGATAACTGGCTGTTTGGTCTTCAGAAAGCTGTGGAAAAACTTCAAGTGCAGAGACTAAGAGCTCCTCTTTCTGAAGGTAGGTGTAATGGACAACCAAAAATATAAGGATTTGATTGTATTGATTGGCACACATTGTTTTAATGTTGATATTTTGTTTCAAAATTTAACACAAAAAACTTAAAAAATTCTACGAAGAAATAATTAGTCTGGACATTGATATTTTGTCTTACTGTTTCAGATGATCAAAGAAAGATTAAAGAAAAAGCATAAATATTATGATCAGGGTTCACAAAAATTTGCAACTAGTAATTCTCATTGGGCTTTATGTGATCTAATGGTTAGCATGCCACACTGTGAAGCCAAGGGTCCATTTCTCATATCACTTTGTCTTAGTAATAAATAAGTTGCTCTTTGTATTGTATACTTGTGTTAGTGCTAAGATCAGAAAGCCTTAGTCGTGTGGCTAATTTGACAGGATTTCAATTATTCACAAATATACTGATTTAGCCACAATAGTCAACAAACATTTATTGTTTTATTGTAAAAGTTATATGTATGCCAGTTATAACACAATAGTCAACAAACATTTATTGTTTTATTGTAAAAGTTATGTGTATGCCAGTTATAACACAATAGTCAACAAACATTTATTGTTTTATTGTAAAAGTTATGTGTATGCCAGTTATAACACAATAGTCAACAAACATTTATTGTTTTATTGTAAAAGTTATATGTATGCCAGTTAATAACACAATAGTCAACAAACATTTATTGTTTTATTGTAAAAGTTATATGTATGCAAGTTAAAACACAATAGTCAACAAACATTTATTGTTTTATTGTAAAAGTTATATGTATGCCAGTTATAACACAATAGTCAACAAACATTTATTGTTTTATTGTAAAAGTTATATGTATGCAAGTTAAAACACAATAGTCAACAAACATTTATTGTTTTATTGTAAAAGTTATGTGTATGCCAGTTATAACCTGATTGCAGTTGCTATTGTTTATGCCATTAACACTATGCATAAACAGATAACAAAATTGTTAGAGGAGGGATACTATCAAATATAGAAATTTGATATTTCTCAACCTTATTATTGGTTAAAATGTGAATTATCTAGGTATCTGTAAGTGTAACAATCAATTGGCGTACTCTATGATTCAGAATGCTGTAACCCAGTAGTTAAACTCCTATAATTTGGTTGGGTGGTGGTAAATCAACACATCAATTGTCTGACAACAACAACACAAAGTGGTATAATGTTTCATGTTCATATTTAGAAATACCTTGTGTGTGTGAGAAGAAACAGGGACAGCTTGTACTCTTGGATAGATCATTGGCTTTTTTGGCCAAAAGACCTGGGTTCAAGCCCCAGTCCTAAAGTTTCTTTTCACTTTCCCCTCTGATCATCTCTTTTTAAATATCCTCCATTCTCTTCTAGGGCTATCAGAGAGGCCAACCAATCAGAAACTTAAACTATAGATATTGACAGGTCACAATTTAAAATTCCAATATCCTACCTCTTTGGATTACTGATATATAAATATATTTGTGACACCCAGCATTGAAGATCCTCCCATCTTGTAATAGCTTTGAAAAAATTCATCTATACCATGTGTTCTTTTATACACATGTGTATAACCAACAGAAATAGAAATTTATTCACTACAAAAATCTGCTGATGGTTATTTTTTTTAGTGCACAGTTACAGACAGTTTGCTTCTGAGTGTTTATGTGTGATCATTATTTTTGAGCTTCAAGTTTAGTTAGAAAGCCAGTTAAATGATAGTAGTTTCAAGACATTCTAAATTTTTGCATAATGTTGTGTGTTCTAAATTGCATATTTGAAATAAACGTAAAAAATATTTTGTAAAGATGTTGATAAAGGTCTGTCAATAGCAAAAAAAACAACCCAATTCCACATATGTAAGTTATAAATTTCTTGTTTTTTTATGCATATCTTTTATTTATTATTATAAAAGTAAATCAAATATAAAAATTAGAATCTTGTTAGGTTACATAAGAAAACTTAAGTAATAAATTCTTGTGATACTCAATTTCATGTTGAGTGATTGTATTTGAGTTGTGGAGTGCTTCTAACTTGATCACTTGTTTACACAAGGCTACCCAAGTATGATAAATGGTTTTCAGCATACTCTTATGGGTCTTAAGTGAAGCAATAAAATCAAATTTACACAGATTTGAAAAGTCTATTAGCTATGGCTGTAAGAATAATGAGTGTAATTATCTTGTTACAATATTCAGTCATTCTATAAAGAAAAAAAGGCAGTTTAGACTTATTTCATATTTTTCCACTTTTAATTTTAACCTGTATTGTTATTTTCACTTTAGCTACTGTTAGGGTAGAGAAAATAACATAAAATGTTAATGAAAAAAACAAGATATCCTCTTAGAAGGTTCTATGAATTACGCAACTGAAATATGAAAACTGTAAATTTAAAAGAAGTATTTTGGTTTTTAGTATGAAAATCTCCTTTGACTCCAAAAGACTTTATAAATTCACAGACAAAGCTTTACTAGAAATACTGTATTAACGAATCTGATTTTTTCATACAAAAGACTCGTAATGTGTAGTAAAAGTTTGCTGAACTTTATAAAAATATACATTTAGTATTAGGTTGTCAAGAAATTACCACACACACACCTTATAGATTGTGCACATTTACTTGTGTTAACATTACCACACACACCTTATAGAGTGTGCACATTTACACGTGTTTACCACACACACCTTATAGTGTGCACATTTACATGTGTTAACATTACCACACACACCTTATAGAGTGTGCACATTTACATGTGTTAACATTACCACACACACCTTATAGTGTGCATATTTACATGTGTTTACATTACCACACACACTTTATAGATTGTGTACATTTACATGTGTTTACATTACCACACACACCTTATAGTGTGCATATTTACATGTGTTTACATTACCACACACACCTTATAGA